TTCTTCTAAGTCTTTCCGTAATCGCGGCCACGTAGCAAAGAGGAAGTCAAACCAACTTTATATGTTGAAACGAGACTACGACTGTGCTGACACAAATCGCAGTCTTCATATCTACGATCTAAATTTTAAAGGTAGGACTACCGAAAACTATTTCAAACAGATTTTATTAACACATCCTTAATTAAACTTAATCTGTCGGAGATTTTGAGACCGAAAGAAGTTCTGTATATAGCTGAAGTTTTGGTATACTTTTATAAACTTAACACAGACATTCTTATTGACGAGCAGATTTGATTATCTTGAGACTATATTAGGAGCTTTTTTCTATTTATTTTACTGAAGTAATTGAGCTTGACTATGGTGCCCACGACGTCTGTTTTTTAATACAACAGGATGCTGATAAAGTAATAGGTTGACGACCTTCAATTTAACCCTAGGCCCTTGTCGTTTATGACCTTATAAAGGTATGGATTTTGCTTATTCGTCTAATGAAACTAAAGTATGCCGTTTGGTGCGTAAGGCATTACAATTAATTAGCTTGCGAAATGGAATAAAATCTCGGAATCATGAAATATTTCAATTCTGAATACTCATGGATTTATTTGTGGATTGTCTTAATGTTCACCTCTTTCTCAGTTGATGGAGAACATTATGGTTTACTAATTTGTGTTAATTCTATTAAAACTTTATTGTTCTAGTAAAGTACTTGCATTTGTGTAATGTCTATGTGCACTATGGCGTTTAGGGAATACTTGATTTTGCACTATACATTCCAACTAGGTGCTTTTATGTAGAGTTCGATTACGCCTAACTAAAAGCCACAATTAATTTATGAGTTCAGCTTGAAATCATACTCATTAGAAAACAAATAATTTGAGGGCCAAAGTACAAGGGCAGACAATAAAAAAGAAATAAACCCCCCAAAAAATCAATCCTTATTGTAACATGACTCTCCATTTCGAAGTGAAAGTTGGTTGGAAGGAATGCGTAATGTAGTCTCACCGGTAACCGAAGAAGTATTGCCCCGTAGAGCAGACTGTTGAAAAGGGCGAAGAAGTCATTGTCTTACCGTGCTGCGACCCCAATGAAACTGTGCAAAGCTTTCGTCTATACTGCGACAGACATCATCAGAGCAGGTACCAATTCTTAACGAAATTTAGCAAAAATATAGTAAACCAAGAAAAAAAGTGGCTGGCCGCGGCCCTAGTCGCTTTCTAGTACGCCTAACTTGGCGATTTTAATGAAGCATCCCCTGATTTGGAAAGTATGAAAACCAAGATGGTGTGGCCTTTTGTGTGGTACTCTGAATTGGTTGGCTATTCCGGATTTACTCGACATGCCTGCAAATGAGTGAACTTACTTCCCGAACCGGATGTGTGTTCGGCGGCAGCTATTTTCTTACACAAATAAACTAGTGTACGATTCTCAATTGTTGATTCATATTTGAGCTTGTGCTATTGTCAATTGTATATATGTAATGCTCATATCATGAGAAGTGTAATAGTCCTAGCTAGACTCCATGAGTCTTGTTCAGGCGTTCTTACTGCTCCCATCTAACTTTCTTCCCCTCATTAAGGGTATCCAACAGCCGTAAATAGTTCCTACTTAGTTTACTACAATCCTTCCTATCATTTGTAACGCTGGCTGTTTTGTTACTTTCTATAGACTCGCTAATCCTACCCTTTGACGTGAACTCTGCGTAACCCACAAAACGTGTTTTTAACCAATCTTAGTAACTTCATTCTTAAATTATAACTAAGACTAGACTTAGGCGAATCTTGCCCTATGCTCTTAGTTAAGAAGACTTGAAACTCCAGAGTATAGCGGATAGTTTACATGACAAGGTTTACCGACAAGTTAGGAAATTAAGAAATGTAGGTATAAGAATTAGCTCAAGGAAACGACTCATCTAATTAATTGAATTGTAAGGAAATTAAAGAAGCTTGTTTTGTAAGGAGGATATCTCATTAGAGAGGGCCGTGAGTCAGGCACACATGAAGACTTTCATATTGGCTTCTCTATTCTCAGCTAACGGGCCAAGCTTAGGCTCGTGAACTACACGGCGACTAAGGATACAAATTTTAGGTCGAGTAAAGTGAATTTGTCACTATCATTCCGTTCCATTAATATAATATAGGTTTAAAGTAAAGAAGTAGGCTGACCACACCATATTGGTCTTATCTTCTATAAAAGTAACCAAGTCGGTCTTCTTTCGCCCTTAGATGAAAATGTCTTTTTTTCGGCCTATATTTACTCTGCGCTTTATTCTGCTCTTGAGGCCTCGCATTTTCCTTATTTTTTAATGTGTGACACGAAAATTTATCAAAAGAATCGAGGTATGATGTTGGTGTCTTCAGATCAACACTTCACTATTGGATAGTCGCAACAACTCCGTTCTTAGTTGAGGACAACCTATACATCTCTTACTCGTTATACTGAATAAGGAATACTTAAGAATACATTATCAAATGATCCTTATTACCTTATTTCCCCATGTATAAGCACCCCCTTTGTATAAACCACCGCCCAATATTTTGAGTGTGAAGTTTTGAAAAAACATTTTATTAGTTAAACAAGTTACAAAGAAAGAAAAGTTACAAACAAACAAAATTCAAGACTCATAATAATCGCTCATG